GATCCTCATGGCATGATATTTAAATTAGGTCATGAATCAAGAGAGACAAACATAATCCTCTTGGTCAAATAAATACTTTTAATAAAAAGGATTAGAGTTTACATGCTTCACAAAGAAGAAATGTCCTAAGTTGGCACAAGATACATTGTATAATCCAAAATAAGAGGCAACGTAAAAGATGGTGTCTCATACACCATAGTTACACCTCTGGTGCTTTCTCGGCCGGACTCGCTCCTGTAAAAATATTAACCACGGGGAATGAGACTTAAAAGTCCCAGTAATCAAAAATTAATATGTAATGATGCATGCGGATGTAACTAATCATGCGATTGCTAAGTGGGCACACAAAACATTTAACCGAATAATATTTTCAAACAAACCGAACAAGTATTTAATTTGCATGACTGCACCTTATATCCTCTTTTCGCCATGCTCGGACGCCAAATCACCCGGCTAAAGGTGAGTTGGACCAAGCGACACGCCACTCATTGGGTCCAATGAGGGCTTACCACGTGGTAATAATTAACCGAACAGAAATTTCCATTAACACCATACATTAAAATACCCTGACAAGTCATGCATCATTCAAATATCCAAACAGGAATATATCCGAACAATAATATCTCATCATGATAAACAAAAATAAATTTTTAACCCACTTGGCAATAATTTCAAACAAGTATATACAGTATTTATTTTCAATAATTCATAATTTTTCCAAACAACAAAACAACACATAACCATTCACAAACACACTCATCACAACACATTAATAATGGTTACCTTGTGTCTTGAATAACAAGTTCCCCTTCACAACTCCTTTTTCACCACTATCTTTGTCAATATAATCTACATAATTATTTCACAATACTATATCTTAATTTTACATTAAAATAAATAACTCTAATTTAAAGAGTTAGAAAGTCTTAGATCTATAATCCATATTAACACTAATTTAAGATTTATGCCTCATTTAACTTCTCAAATTCTTTTTTAAAATTCTCGTACCCTAATAAACTATTTTTTTTATCCTCAGTTCACTTCTAGTATCACAATTTCATCCTTCTATATTCTAAAAATTCATCCAAAATAAATTAAAAATTTTAAAATTATCATGAAGCCTCAAATCACCTTTCTATAACCTCAAAATACCTATTCATATTTAAATAAATATTTAACAATCATAGGTTTATCCCTACATCTCAGATTCCACATAAATTCAACCATGTAGATCTAGATTTTAACTCAAAAATTCTTAAACATAAGTTTCAATCTCAAAAAAATATTCTATAATATTTATTATATCCCTAAGAGTTTTAACCTATATTTTTACTCCATCATATCATCAGATTAACTATCCTATAGAAAAATTCTAATCAAAATATTTACTCTATCCTGCAAAATAATCATATCACTAGAAAGCTAATATTATTTAGAAAATAACTATAAAATTAATTTTGTAATTAAATAAATTTTTAAATGCTAATCTAAACAGGAAAAATTAGAACATACCTGAAGAAAAAGAAAATAATCCCCCCTTGCGAGAAAACGCTGAGCAACGTGAGAGGAAGAGAGAAAAATAATATAAAAATGGGATTGTGGTCCCAAAATTATATTAAAAAAAACTATAGGTTTGAATTTAATTATTCAAACATTTGGGCCAAAAGTTGCAATTTTCTCTAAATTGCATCTTAGCCTCTCATGCTTCCTAATGCACATACCCCTTCCTTTTTATACATGAAGGCACCTCTTCTCTTTCCTCATCTAACCAATGTGGGACTTAGAAACAACAACCTTCCACCCCCCTTTTTTTTGTTCCTTCTACCTTCTCTTTTTTTAACACACATAAAAAAATTATTTATGTATTAAATCTTAACTAAATATTGCTTATGTGATTTTAAATTTAAATTTTTAAATTTATAATTAAATACCTAACCATAATATCATTTCTAAATAACCTCAAATAATATAAATTCCTATTATTATCATTTGTTTTCCTCAAAACCTAAATTCTACAATTTCTTTATTATATAAAAATTAGGATGTTACACAGAGCGACGGCACCACCGTGAGGACCGACTGGTGAGCCGAACGAAAGAGGAGGTCACAGAAAGAAAGCTGCGACTGATAGAAGACAAATGAGGATCAGAAAGAAGAGAACTCAATCACGTGAAGGGCACAGATAAAGAGCACGTGAATAATGATAAAAAGCTTAAAGCTGAAGCTGGTTTTGGTAGATTAAGAATTAACGCGCGTTTAACCTCCCTAATTAATTATTGCATTTTTCTGCTGTTTGGCAAATTTTGTTTTGAAAATCGATTAAACCCCAAAAAATCGATTATTGACGCAAACCAAACGGGCACTAGCTCTATTTAATTAAGTAGACTAGGCTTAGTTGCAAAAGATTTGGCCTATTTGGCCATGTCTTATAAGATTAAGAGTTATTTTTATCTTTAAATGTTTGAAATTTCCTAACTTGTCATCCCCAACGTTAACACATTTAACAACCATTATGTATGTACCATTTGCATTATGTGTAGATTGTGTTGAGGAAAATTATGGTAGAAGAGAAATTGCAAGGAATAATTTATTAAAAAAATCATGAGATAATCATGCTTTAATTTATGATTAGTATTACTTTATGTTAATTGTGTGATTATTGAAAAAATTATGAATTGTTATTAAGAAATTATTTTGTTATATTTATAAAAAAATTGTGAATATATATTTTAAAATATTTTTGTCAAGTGGGATATTATGTTGTAATGTTGTTGAAAATAAGAAAATTGTGAATATTATAATGCTGCATAATTGTACAATATTAATATACAATTGTTTAATTCTTGTGAGAGGTGTTGGAAGACTTATTATTATTGCCATATTTTTTTGTGTACCACATGGCACGCCTCTATTGGAGGCCTAATAGGTGGCTTATAAAGGATTGGGTTAATATATCTTTGATCAAATAATTTAACAGTAAGTGAAAGTTGCGGCTTAAGGTTAATTGAGGGAAACAATAATGATTATTTGTCATGCATTATAATATCTCTTTATATTTTTATGGGAATTATATGATTGTTGTTTTTTCACTTAGCAAATACACATTTAACTATTTACATACATTATCATAAATTGACACTGGTTGAGTCTCATTACATGGTTAACACTTTTCAAAAGAAAGCCATGAGTGGTGCGTGAAGGAGCATCTGAAACTTAATGGTGTACATCCACTATCTCTTTTGAAATTTTTAAATTATAATTTTTAATGTGCTATATTGTCAATGCTAGATCTTTTTGTTTATTGACAATTATATAAATGTAATGATGTAATAATGTCATTTAAATTATTTTTACTTTTGGTACATTTTGGATGACTGTAGCTTTAATATCTAATTTATTTTTGAATGGTTTGAAATGGCATGATTTCAGGGGCCATATAATTGGTTTGTTTTAGAAACTGATTAAATTATCTATTTTAATTGTTGGTTTATAGTTTGCACTTATTATAAGCATAAGATTGAAAAATGTAATTTTAGTCTAATGGCATGCGAGAGTTAAAAATTTACTTGAAATGTTGTATTGTATAAATCTAAGCAAATTGTTAGCTGTTTTCATATTTGATTTATTGATACAAATTATGTTTGGTGGCTTTAACTTAATTATAATTGTAGATGTGTATTAGTAGAATCAAAAGTGGTTCTCTTTTATTTGGAAAGATTGATAAGTGGTCATAAGATTTCAAAATGCATAACTATTTATATTTTTTCAATCTATTGTGTCTATCATGTTTTTGATTTTAAAAAAGATCTTTTGGACTTTTTACACTTATTTTATTTTTAAATGCCTAGGATCGCAAATTTTAAAAATGACAATTTAAAAAGTTTAAATTTTACTTATCATAATAGTACTTATTTATCCACCATAGTCTTTTCTGTTATAGTAGTCATTTTAAAGGTGTAATATTTTATAAAGTCATATTTTATCATTTCCTATTATAGTAGTATTTTAAGTTATAGAATTATTTAAAAAAATAAATGACTAGTTAACTTCTGTTTATCGTGATAGATACTTTTTTATCATGGTTAAGTTAATTATTTAATTTTTTTTAAATATTACATATAACAATCTCTGAGCGCATTAACATTACAACAAAATTCAAAATGACTCACAATTGAATTCAGGATAAAAATAACCCTAAACCCTATATTTCAATTTACTATAAAAGCTTCATGTATGTATATACATGTAATCTAATATAACATAAAATTTATCTTCAATTAAATATATAACATAAAATATGTCAATTTTAATATAATTTAAACTAGTTGTTTTTAATATGATATCTAACACAAAATCAAATATAATTGAAATTAATTTTATTTAATTACTAGTGCATCATGAAATTGCTTAGATTTATATAGTTTTATTCTAAATCCCTAATCACCAGATGAGACTTATCCACCTTGTATCTCAAGGTGTTTATGGATTTGGTTTGATTTGACCCTGAAGAAACACTAACTCAAACCAAACCAACATGTTCATCAAAATTTTGGACTTATTTGATTTTTTTCATTGATCAGTTTGATTTTGTCTTTTAGTAATTTGGTTCAGTTTTGTTTTAGGCTCGATTCAAGTTTGATTTTTTTTTTTGAGATATTTTTATAATCGATATATGTACATATTTACTTATAATTTTAATTATTATTTTAAAAAAATTCATAATGACTAAAAATATTTAAAAATTAATCAGAATATAATAAAATTTGGTGTGGTAAAGTTTGGTACTGGTTGTAAATTCAGAATTTGGCTGTGTGTTGAACCTCTGTCTCACTCCCATCCATCGGCCCGTCGTGTCAGGAGGGGTTCTCGTTCCCCCTCCTTTTCTCTCATTCTCCCTCCTTTTCTCAATCTCCATCATTAATTTTATTTGATTAAATGAATTTATTTTAATTAACCCACGATTCACTTTCTTCACCCCTTGATATCGCTTCATCTCCCAATCACCTGTCCCACTCGGCCACTTCCTTTGCCTCTCGATCTCTCAATCTCCATCTTTGTCCCACTCTCCCTCCCTGGCTTCGCCTCTCCGTCGCCTGTTCCTCTCGGCACTCAATCTCTCAATCTCCATCTATCGCTCATGGCTCACCCACACACGACGTCGTTTATTGCGTCATTAGCTATCTGTGCTCGTGACTTGTATCCAGAAAGGCAGGAATCTCGCTAAATCTCAGTCTCAGTCAGCTGCGATTCACAAGCAAAAGAGGAAAATTTTGCATCAGGGCTTTTATCTGTAAGTGTTGTGGCTTAACCTCAGTCTCAGTTTCCATCGCCATGCTTCCTCTCCACTTTCTGTTGGACTGCTGCTATACTATTTGATACTTTCGAGCCTAATTAATTTCTTTTTGTTGTTGTGGTCTTCTGTATTCATGCATGATGTAGACTGCTTTACTTATAAACTTTGATTCTGATTGCATTCAAATTAGATTGCTTTACTTTCTGTTGGTCTTCTCACCAAGCGCTTCGCACGTCCCTAGCTGAGTTCTACTTTTTTTTTTTTTTTGGTTGCTGAATATTGTTTTTGTAATTGGAAGTCGTTTGGCGAAAATGATTTTTTTGCTTTAAATTTTTGAGTGAAAAATTTAAAAATTTTAGATGCAGTGTTAAACACAATTGAATCGGGTCAAGCCAAACCGGATCAATGAAGGCCGACCCAAGCCGTTTTGACGGCTTTGCACGCGCCGTTTAGCTTAGGTTTCTCCAGAGCAACGACGCCGCTTTTAAAGTAAACTCCTCCACGGAACCTCCCATTGTGGTCTCTTCTGATCTTTTGCAGAATATATAGAAGGACAATTGCTATACCAATTTGAAGTACGAGACTGCAGGAGTCGCCATGGAGAATGGAGATATTCCAGAGAATGCCAACGAGCGTATGATTTTTTTTCTTGCTTTTTATGCCTTTTTGTTTCATATATGAAAAAATTATTAGGTTTGCTTATATATGAAAAAATTATTAGGTTTGCTTATACAGTTCTATATTTTCACTTTCAGATTGCCCAGGCCCTCAATCTGAGTCTGCAGGAAAATCCGACGCCTGCGAAGGATGCCCCAATCAACAAATTTGTGCCACTGCTCCTAAAGGACCTGACCCAGGTTCTCTCTCTCTCATCTTTGCCTTTATGACTAAAATCACATTAAGCTTTGATATCCGTATTTCTTGAACCTTCAAGTTCTGCTAAGTTTGTTCGATGAGAAATTTGTGGTTTTATGTTGTTTTCATCTCCCTCCTCACCTCTTCCTCAGTTAGAAAACGAGGACACTGGTTATTGTTATGAATTTTACTTTCGGGCTTAGAATAAGGTTGAAATGGTCAATAATGATTTGCTACGAAATCCATGTAAAAATTTATTTTTTGTGTGTATAAGGGAGAGAATGGTGTCCTACACACCGTGCGATATGTTGGATTTGGCAGGTGCCATAGAAGTGGAAGTTCTTTTTTTTTTTGGCTGGTTGTTGCCCATTTGAACATCTCACATGTTCAAATTATTTTAGTAGCACTAGCTCCTGACTAAAATTGTTTAGATTAATGTGAAACTCAGGAATTTATTTCCTGATTTATGGTTCCACTTTGTTTAAATAAATTTGCCTAATTGAGAGATGTCATAGCAACTGTTTAATTATTTCTGAAGAAAAGTATGTGAGCTTGTTCACTGTTACATATCCAATTTATCAGTTGTGTGTACTGCTGTAAATTGGAGTTGTCCTTGCTTTACCCAACAAGAGGATGGTATTTTGACCCAGGTTAAGGCATGCCCTGGCCTTAGAATGGGGTCTCATCCTGAATGAACTTGTCCATGTAAAATAAAAAGACATAGCTTATGACATGCTTTATCTAAATCGTTCTCTCCAATATTGTATTAATGAATTATTAGGTGATTAAGTTATTTAAATGTATTGATGTCTTTTTCAATTTTCCCTTTTTGTTATGCTTATTGGTGATGAGACTCTGAATTGTAAGCACATACATATTTTATGTTGCAAACAAACTCAATATTTTGGTAGGTCATATTGTCTTAAATGTTATTGATTTGGTATGACATTTTTAATTCTGCTTTTGATATTCCTTGCCTTAAAAAGTTTAGTTGCATTTGTTGCATCTGTTTCCACAGATCTTGTATCCATTGCAGAAAGAATGGCTACTGTGAAGCATAAGATATTGGTTCTATCAGGCAAGGGAGGAGTTGGCAAGAGCACTTTCTCTGCCCAGCTGGCATTTGCTTTAGCAGCAATGGATTTTCAGGTAGGTCTTCTTGACATTGATATTTGTGGTCCAAGCATTCCGAAGATGCTAGGCCTAGAAGGGCAAGAGATACATCAGAGCAACCTTGGCTGGTCTCCTGTCTATGTGGAGTCCAACTTGGGGGTCATGTCAATTGGGTTTATGCTTCCTCACCCTGACGAAGCTGTCATATGGAGGGGTCCACGCAAAAATGGGCTTATCAAGCAGTTTCTTAAGGATGTTTATTGGGGGGAGCTTGATTTTCTTGTTGTTGATGCTCCTCCTGGTACCTCAGATGAGCACATTTCAATTGTCCAGTGCCTTGATGCCACTGCAATAGATGGTTCAATCATAGTTACCACACCTCAACAAGTCTCCTTGATTGATGTGAGGAAGGAGGTGAGTTTTTGCAAGAAAGTTGGGGTGAAGGTTCTTGGGGTTGTCGAGAACATGAGTGGTCTTTGCCAACCTATCACCGATTTCAAGTTTATGAAGATGACAGACGCAGGCGAGCAGAGAGATGTCACAGGGTGGGTTTGGGAGTATTTGAGAGAGAGAGCACCAGAAATGCTAAATTTGATTGCTTGCAGTGAAGTGTTTGACAGTAGTGGTGGGGGAGCAACAAAGATGTGCAATGAAATGGGGGTGCCTTTTCTTGGTAAGGTTCCATTGGATCCGGAGCTTTGTAAGGTAGCTGAAGAAGGCAGATCTTGCTTTGCTGATAAAAATTGCAGCGTGAGCGCTCCAGCATTGAAGAAGATTATCGAGAAATTGATGGAAAATCAGGGCCTATCAACGTCTACTAACAGTGTTGCATAGGGGATTTGCTTTGACAGGTGATGCATATAAAAGTACTTAATTTAATCCAATGGATTTGCATGCCCTTGTATTTGATATGATGGCGAGGAACTTTCGAATATGAGGTTTTTAGCTGTTCGATTACAGGACTAGGTTACTCAATACGGATAATGTGAGATTTCTCCTGTTGATACTAGCTTGCCAGTTTTTATGGCCCGTTTGGTTCATGGATATGATTGTAATGTAATAGTAGGGAATGCAATGTTGATTGCATTGAGTTTGTTTGGTATGTTTCTGTGGATCTTAAATGAATATAATTAATTTTTTGTATCCAATTCCAATTTAATAAACACAGAAGCAAAAAGACCAAAATGCCCTAAAGCGAAAAAATCCCCCTCTAGTCTCGCCGGTGCCAAAAAATCACCTTACTCCCTTTCAGATGCAAAATAAATCCAACTGCAAAATATAAAAAAAAAATGGATATTTGCTTAAAAACTGGAAGGAAAATAAAATGGGTGACGAGTTGTGTTTCAGGTCTTGTGAGTTTCAGGTGGCGGTGAAGGCTAAGGATGGAGGTGCAGAGGGCAACACAAAGGGAAAGGAAGGAGGGCAGTGGCGAAGGAGTTGACCACAGTGGAGGAGACGTCGAAGGTGGAGGAAAGTTGCAAGTTAAACGCCGGTAATGATTTTGATGGTGCAATGGGTAGACAATAATAGGGGGAAGAGAAAGGGAGGAGGAGGTGGACGCATGAATGGAGGGGAGAGGGGTACTGTTGGACAAAAGTGGTGAGAATGAGGATTGCATGGGTCTTACGACCCTTACGGGAATTGAACCAAACGGGCTAATATTCCTGTGCTCGTGAATTGTCATTAAAGTGCAGACCAGCATGAGGCAGCCTTGTGCTTTTAAACTTTTTTTTTTAAAAATTATATTGCAATTGGTCCTAAAAAAAAAATTAAAGTGCAAACAAATATAAGGAAACTTTGTGCTTTGAAACTTTTAAGAAAAAATTTAATTGCAATCGAGTCTCAAATAAAAAAGAAATTATTTATTTAATCTTATTTACAAGTCAAAATTTAATATTTATAAGTAACTTTCAATGCATTGATGGTTAATTAGATGTAATTAATATATGGATAAAAATAAAATAAATTATTCTACTATTTCTTTGTTACTAAATTTTCAAAATATAATAAATAAAATACTTTGGATATATCAAACCTTCTCATTAGTCTTCGTGATGTGGTATAAATATATTGAAATTTAGTTACCATCATATATGTATATAAATAAAAAATAAAAATCATATTAGTAGAATTACCCTTAATAATATGTTGGTATTCAAAAATTTTTAAATTAGGTAGTAGATAATTATATAAAAATAATTTAATCATTCATCTTATCATTTCCATAAGATAATTTATATTTCATTTAAAAATCTGCTCTATTCCATATTTTTCAAATACAAATATTAAAGTGAATTTTACAATTTCAATAATATTACTTACAATAATTTATTTTAAATAAATACTTCTCTAGTTCTATTTATAAGGTAAAGAGATAAAAAAATTTGATCTTATTTATAAAGTATTTGTTAATTTTCAATGCTTTTATTTACATTTTTACTCTTATTAAATATTTTAAATAAAAATATTAGTAATAAAATTTAAAAATATTTATTGAACGTAAAAATAAAAATTTATTAAATTTTAAAAGTTAAATTTTTTTTTAATTTTAATAAAAAATATGTTAAAAGTCGCTTATTTATAAGATGAGAGGGTAATACATTAAAAAAATTAAGATTATTGTCGTTGGTTTACTCTTTATTGGCTCTAAAGAAAGCCGGTGATCTCGAGGGGTATCGCCGCGTCAGAGAACAGAAATCATCGAAGCTTTCTCTCAAAATGAATGATCGCGGGAATCGTGCCGCCGCATTTATCACTCAACCCCACCACTTCCCCCATTGACAGTTAATCGCGCGGTACACCGTCCTTCGGCTGTTTCGTCTCTTCAGTTCTTAACGTCTGAATATAATATGTTATACATACATACATACATATCTATATACATACATATATAGGTGCACGCACTTTCACTTCCACGTGCCCTCCTGCTTCTACTCGCCTATTACTGGGATCCAGATACTCTTATTTAATCTCTCATATTTCATCGTATCATCTCATATTAAAATAATTTTATTTTAAAAATTAATTCTTTTATTAAATTAATTTTTTATTTTATTTTGAATTTTCAAAATTTATTCTAAAAAGTTACTCTACAAAAATTTTTACAAGAAAATTTTATAATTCAGCTTATTTAAAATCTAACTTAACTTATTTAATAAAAATATGTTTTAAAAAATTTATAAAGTAAGTTAAACTCTAAGCAAGTACTTACAATTTGATTCATTTAAATTTTGGCATGATTTATTTAATAAAAATTTATTTAAAAAAATTATAGAGTAAGTCAAACTATAAATAAATACTTATGATCTTGCTTATTCAAACTATCACATGATTTATTTAAAAAAAATTAAAGAGAATTTTTTTAAATTAAGTTGAAAGAATCAATTTTTAAAATAAAATTATTTTTTTATGAGATGATGATAAATTATGAAACATATGAATTGAATATTCATTGGAGGGCTGAGATTTGAGATGCTGAGGCAGAGCCGATAATTTGAATTAAGCCCGACGGATTAGCCCGAACTCGTCCAAAAAATTTAGGGCCAAACTCAAAAAAATATTAATATTTTAATGTTCAGTTGGCCCGAATACTCGAATTAAAAAATAAATTTTTTAAAAATATTTAAAATATGATAAATATTAATTAATTTTTAAATTTTTATGTTATTTTATACTAAAAATATTATATATTTGAGTGTATTACTATAGTTATTTTAAAAAAAATTAAAATAGTTATAATATTATATTTTTATTATTTTTAATCAATAAAATATGTCAAAATAATATTTAAAATATATTTTAATATTTACTTTTATATTTTTAAGACCCAATTTTTTTGTAAAAAAATTTTAAGTTCTACACACCATTTGTGTATAAAAAAATTAATTTTATATTTTTTATAAAATAAGATAATTAATTTTCAAGTAAAAATAAAATTAAAAATAATTTTAAAAATAAAATTCAGGCATTTATAAATTTCTGACTCTACTACTAGATAAACAAAATAAATAAAATAATATTTTTGAATAATTACTTAGTTATTGTCTATGCTAGATTTGGTTAAATATTAAAAATAAATTAGAGTACAATTTCCTTATATATAAGGGTTAAATAATATAATTAAAATGATTCAAAAAAATAATAATATTTTACTCATAACTAAATAATTTTTCTTTATATGATATAATGATAGGTATTTTTTTATATTTATAAAAAAGAAAAGTACAATTTACTCAAAAGTTACTAAAATTTTTGAATTAATTGAGACAATAATTTTAAGTCAGTAGTTTAACTGTGATTGAATTAAGATCAACTTAATCATAATTAAAATAATATAATTTAATTAAAATATATAAAACATGTATATATAACTATGATAAGAGCAGTATTTAAACAAATAAAATATTAATTTATAAGTAAAAGAAAAATTCATGAGTAAATGACACATAATACAACAAAAAAGGAACAGAGCTACTTAAGTACAAAGTTGATAAATTATTTTTTATTTTATTCTTTTAAATTTAAAATAATATTTTATACTTAATATAATTATCTAAAAATTAAAATTGGCTTAAAAAATCAACAAAAAAATATTTTTTAAAAGTTTTGGGTATTCGGGCCGGCCCGAATAAGCCCTAAGGTGTTAGGGTCGGGCTTGGCTATATGAGCTTTTTAAAAGGAGTATGATACTCGATTCAAATAAGTCTGGCCTTAATTGTGCTCGGCTCGGTCGAATTACCGACTCTATGCTGAGGCATGCTGCTCCTGAGAGGATCTGGATCCCCTGTCACTGCCTTGCTTCATAATTGAAATCTCTTACTCGTTTCAGGTTCCAAGAGAATGTCATGGGTGGGAGGGTCAAGATTGGAATCAATGATATCTATAGTTGGCCAATCCCATTTCTACTTGTGTTTGTATTCAGTTGCTTCGTAGTTAACGTCTGTGTGTGTGGGGTATTGCGATGATGAAGGATTCGGAAGGATTGGCGGTTTAGTTGCCAGGTTGGCTCTGATGAGAGATGATGTTGATCCAGTTGCTGTTAACGATCCATTCATCACCACGGATTACATGGCAAGTGTTTGCCAGCTCTGCCTCTGCATGTAAATGTAAGTTGAATTGATTGTTTCGATCATTCATGATTTTATTTTGTTGGTTGAACGTAGAAGGGGAAAGGCTACAATACATCAACAATTTTGTTGTGCTAGTTGCTAAGAAATTTTCCTTTTCCTTTTCCTTTTCTTTTGAATTGTTCTTAAATTTTTCTCTGTCTATCTTCAGTCATGTTTCTGAGTTTTGCCCAAATTAATTTGGAATTGCACGCCACATACTTGCACGTTCAAGTACGACAGTGTTCATGGGCAGTGGAAGCACCGTGGCATTGAGGTCAAGGACTCCAAAAACCCTTCTCTTTGGTGACAAGCCTGTCGCTGTTTTTGGTATAAAGTATGTTCTGCTTCTGTAATTAATAATTGGAAAGTATATGATTCTGTTTCATAACAAAGTTACGAACAAATTATTGGGCCAATTATCAGACTTAATTATATTTTCGTATTCTAATTACTAGGAAAACACAGGAAATTCCTTGGGGTGAGGCTGGAGCTGACTTTGTTGTTGAGTCTACTGGGGTTTTCACTGACAAAGACGAGGCTGCTGCTCACTTGAAGGTTCCTCACTAAGCGCTCACATGGTGGCGTTGATTTCACAAATAAAACTTTTTTAGTGAACTGGAACTTTCCCAATAAATATGTTGACAAGTTCTTTTTATGATTTACAAAATTTTCAACAACTTGGAAACAGAAATAATGTGGAAATAAGTTTATCCTGATTATATTTGTTTCAAAATTAGGTAGGCTTCAATAAATTTTATATTGTGGTTTGTAAGGCAGCTTGCTACAAATTTTACATTTTACGTTTATTATATTTCTCTTGAATTCTTCGGCCAAGTTCTGGAAACATTCAAATAACTGGTAGCTTCGGCTGTTTTATATCAAAACTGGTTTGTTCTCTTATTTGTGTGGTTATTCTCTTTGATGCTTAGGGTGGTGCAAAGAAGGTAATCATTTATGTCTCGCAGCTGTACTACTCAAGTCTTCTATGGTAAATGACCGCGTGCTTACCGGCTGTTGTATTCTTTAATTGTGGCAGGATGCTGGTACGGTGCTGCCTTCTCTAAATGGAAAGTTGACAGGAATGGCTCTCCGTGTTCCTACTGTTGATGTTTCAGTGGTTGACCAAACTGTAAGAACTTAGAATTGAGAAGGCAGCCAGTTATGATGACATTAAAGCTGCAGTCAAGTGAGAATAGCATTTTTTTGACTAATTTATCCTCTTTATTTGTTCATTTAGATGTTTAAACTTTAGCATTTCATCATTATCAAGTCCTCATCTTTTTATAAATTTTCTGGTCAGGCCCTGTGAATTAAATGAACCACAAAAAACAGAAAGAATGCAACAACAGAGAACAGGTAAGGGAAATACCGAGGTTTTAATATTAATATGTTAATATACTGAATCAGAGTTACAAAAGGGGCCTCCCTGATTCAATATAAAACCGTATTCCCTTGTTACAATGGAGGAATCACAACAACTAAGACAGAACACTCACTGGCTTTCGAGAGGCCAGTCCTCTCCTCACAACACTCAGGATACCCAAAAAAAAGAAGAAGAAGAAGAAGAAGCATAATCTCCTTGGGGCCTCAAGCGCCACTGTAAAACCAAAAGAGAGCCCTTACGGACTCCAAAAATGCCCTCTCCTAAGCCAGGTCAAAAGCAACTCTAAAGCAGCCCTATTTTTTATTTTCTTGCTCTTTAATTTTTGGATGAGTCGGGTCAACATTCTGACCGTCTGAAAGCATCTTTCCTTTTTATGCTGCTTCTCAGTTTTCCTTTTGTAGGTTTGGGCAGCAAAAGCAATTCTATCATTTTCACCAGGAGGCATCTGAGGGAAGCTTGAAGGGAATTCTTGGTTACACTGAGGATGATGTGGTGTCCACTGATTTTGTTGGTGACTGCAGGTGATGATACTGATACTAAAAATACCGTGTTAAAATGTCAAGCGCTCTTTAAGATTATCTGTTTCTTTGTTTTCAGTTAAGGATACGCCATTGAGATTCCCAATTGGACGTATGCCGCTGTCTGGGTCTAATTCTTGGTAGCTTCTACTCTTCTTTTTGGCATATCGTCTAGTTGCTAGATCATGTCAGTTTCTTTATGCGTGAACTGTGATTATAAAGTCTTGTGAGTGGATTGGTAAGACAAGTCTTAATTTTTGATCCACCACATGTTGGCAGGTCAAGCGTTTTTGACGCAAAGGCTGGAATTTCCTTGAGTAACAATATTGTGAAACTTGTCTCTTGGTATGACAACGAATGGGGCTACAGGTAAAACAGATTTTTATGCCTTTTTTATTTTTTTATTTTCAGCTAGTATTTTGTTTAATCAGTGGACTATTAAACTAGTGGATCTTTGGTTTATAATCCATTTCTCTGACAACAAAATTATTAACAGTGCCGTCTAATTATCAGATCATCTTCAATATTTGCCATTTCTGTCATCTCCAATGTTTGTTTCTGATGCAGTTCCCGTGTGGTTGACCCTATCCGACACGTTGCCTCTGTTTAAAAACTGCATTCGGCCCAAGTCTTGCATCTTGAAGCTAGCATTCAACTCACTTCACCCATTAGGTTTATAAGTTTTTGGAATAATGCATAATTCTAAGATGATAAGCACTAGAGGAAACGGTGGGAACCTCTACTTCAGATAGGTTAATTTTATCAGATTTCTTCTTGTCTAGGATAATACGAATCATATCTTATGAGAAACTTCTTTCTTTTAATCTTTTGGTGCTCCTTTTGATCTATTTAATCTCGCAAGTTCTCACGTTTCTTTTTCCACTGCGATGCCAAGGCTTGGTTTCTTTAGTTTTTCTTTCAAATGATTAAAAAATGGAGTTCAGTTTCCACTTTCCATCTTGTGGGTGATTAGAGGGGGGATGCAATGACGTCGACCGCTTAACATAACGAATGAAGACTAGAGATTTGGGAGTCATGCTGTATCAATTTTCAATCTAAGAATATGAGGTCCGTTTGGCTGTTGGAGTGGAATGAAATGGGTTAGTACTTAGTAGAGAATAAAATGGATTAAAATAAGGTCATGGATTGATAGAAAGATGTGAATGATGGGGAGAGGAGAGCCATAAAATAATAGAGAGATGAGAATGGAAATTGACGTCAAAAGATAAATGTGGTAGAAAAGATTGTTAAACATAATATTTAGGTGAAGATGTGTAAAGTAGTCCATTTAAAAATTGAAACGTTGTTAAAAGTAGTAGGTAGTAACAAGTTTTCCACCGCTCCTCGAGGCATGTAAACTTACTTCTGAGATAGATGGTCATGGTTTGACAGTGAAATACACTATTGTTGCCACCAAACAGTAGAGGTGTTCAAATCCTGGTTAGCCTAATTCCGTCCTATTCCTATTAGGACTGGTCTTTTCTAGCCTAAAAAAAAACAGGACAAGATGAGAAAGGGGTTTAGAAAGAGATAAGACATAGGATTGCCCTTAAGACATTTCATCCTGTTTCATCTCGAATATTATATATATACATTATTTTTTATTTTAAAAATATGCATTAAATATATTAATTATGTTAATATAATTTATACTTGTATTTATTATAATTTCAAAACATGCAATTCCTATTTAAATCTAAAACTTTTTTATATTGATAATTTTAATGACACAAGGTAAGTGATACAGGGTGATCTCTTTTTTTACAATATATTAATAATATTAATATAATTTATTCTTATATCTATCTATCTATTTAATTTTGTTTATATTGTATTCCTTGCTTTATTCTTGAAAGAGTCATTAACTTAACATATATCAACTAAAGAAAAAAAACACTGATGTGATATTGTACCTTACTTGTTTATTGTTGTTGCTCTTATAATCTAAAAATTACTTATAACTACTATCATAATATGTTATGTTTATATCTCATGTATACTTGACTTTAAGTTGTATATTTATAGTTGTGATTGAAGTAATTCAATAATTGACTTTAATTGTTGTAATTTATATAATTGTGTTATTTTGGTTTTAAACTTAGAAAGTTATGTGATTTAAAATTTTGATGAATATTGTTATCTAAACCTTTCTCCCATATTGTCCATTTTATCGGAACAGCAGGACATCCCAATCTCATCCTGATCCCATTCAGATTCCTAACATGACAAGATGACTTTCAAAATCAGAGAAAACACGAGACAAAAATTTAATTCTAATTATTTTTTGAGACAAGACATGAGACAAGGGTGGCCTGATCTTGTCTCATCCTATGAACACCTCTACAAAAAAGTAGTTGTGGTTGCATACCAACAAACTTCTGCCGCTAGCCAAACCATAGAAGCTATCCAAAGAATCTCTTAGCAAACAAGCCAAATCAACTATTCTTGTACTGGCTAACATCCTCAGGGATGGAGTTCATCCAAGAATTTCCCCTGATTCTGATTACCATTAGCAAGATAATCCAATTTGTTTATGTTTATAGAAATTAATGTATATAATATATTTGGAGGGAGATAAAAAAAAAAAACATGAATAATCACATGATATAGATCCCACATGTGATTTCATTTTTTTTTTTTTGGTCTGTGCGTCTCTTAAAATGCGTAAATGCAAATAATGTAATTTGTAATTTACTTGATAATGCTTAGCACTGAGCGAGCTACGTGGGAAGAATATTGAAACACTTTCTTGTGAAGATCTCAAACGCTTTGTTAAGCTGGATAACAGTGCAGGAATCAAGGAGAATTACTCTGCTAAGGCCGGCATCGGATTCAGAAGGAACTTCACATAGGGGAAACATGAGCCAAGAGTCTATTCTCTGCCAAATTACGATGCATCTTTGCTTTCCCCTTTTTTAAGTGACTGACTGAATTAAAATGGAAAGGAAGGCAGAAAAGGCATATTTTAGTAATTGATTGTTTTTACTTTTGACTCATTAGTCTCTTCTCTTCTCCCATAGCATGTTTAGAAAATTAAAGCTCATTGTCTTTTCTTGATTGAAAAGATTACTTCCTCATAGAAACATAATAGAATTCTGTCTAGAGACTCTTTTTTGCTTAACTTTATTACCACTGATGAGGCTGCCTTTATAATGTTAGTCTATAAATGGCGGCAAAGCCCCTTCACTTCAGACAAGATGACTTGCGACTGTCAATATAATTTATTTTTCAAGAGTTCTCCCACTAACATTTCCTGGATCACACATCAGAACTAAAAATTGAACAAGCTTAAAGCTGAATTATTGTGCAGAAAACTATTTGGAATTTAACTTTCGGAGGGGGCTTGGAAACAATTGTCATTGCTCCCACTTGTGGAGTCTCCTACGCTGGAAACAAGCATGGCATAATATAATTGAGAAACATAAACTAGTTCCAGTTTGCATTTTATGAATTAAATAATGTATCGTTCTATGGACATGGGTCCTAGTTTCGACTTCGATATTGAAAACTTCATGGTGGAAGCCACCTCCTTCTGCCCCCCAGGCAGGGGTGAAAATGCCATCCTGCTTTTGGATATTCACAAAAAATGAATAAGCTGTGATCCCTTTTAATCTATGATTGAACTTGGTGGGCCATCTGTTGGGGTCGGGACGGGAATACTCTCATAAAGCAATGGCTTTGATGAGTCTTCAACTTTTCTAGCTACTTCACCTCCAGTGGCTTTAGTGGTCCCTGGCTTGTGTAATGCAGAACCTTAATAAAAAAACTAACCCTGTAGTTATAAGTTATAACTAGGATTGGCTGGTTTGTTTTTGTTACAGTGGTAGGTGTTGGTGCTTGCATGCCCATGTGAAGACGCTGCTTCAAGAGTCTTATTAAAGCGAAGAAAGAGACTAGGGGAAGCAAGACACTGATATTAGAGGGAGGAGGGAGTTCAACATCACATACTCTCACATGCATCATTGTTCTCAAAAGAGGCCAACCTGCCCTATTTAAGGCTTTTTGATACACTACTTGGTGTGTTGAAAAGCTGCCTTTCTGCCTTTCACATGTTACACTTTTGCTTTTAGGATGTGTTTCATTCCATCACCAGCGAGTGGTTGAACTTGGGCCCTTTTTCATGAACCTCCCTACCCAAGACAGCTCACCATATCCTTAGATCTAATGCTTAATTAACAGGATCATGTACTAACCAAGGTGATCAATCTGTCATAAGGTATCACCAACCCCTCCTTCGTTCCTAGTCATCTTGTGATTACTGAAATTCTTATATCAATTATCATTTTGAGATGATATTATTAGGTTTAAGAAATGTTAGTTAATGTTTATCAGCAAGTTCCATTGTATCTGGCTAAATTGTACCCACAATGCTAACTGTTCCTCTGCCTTTGCTTCCTGAGGAAGATGGTCAGTGAGACACAGGAAGAAAAAATAAGAAAATCTGTCAGAATCAGAGGTGTTAGATATTAAGCAAAGTAGCTAAAGATGGATGGTGATGGATGATGGTAACAAGCCCCCGCCATTACCAAATGCTTTTGCTCTGTCCCCAGAAAAATTTGGTCGAAAGACGATAAGATCACAGGAAATAATTCAAGCTTCATTGTATGTAATCTTAAGAGAGAGCCATCAGCCATAGCGACCACGCGTTTTCTTTCTTTACATTTACATTATTTGGGATCTTGCGTGCGGATTGATGTGTAACATGACGACTTGAAATTGACTCCATAATTTGTTGTTTCTGTCCGTCATCCTATTACCTGCCAAATTATTGCCTAATCTGATTCTACCACTTTGTTTAATGTTCATTCTCTTCATTTCTCAACACGAGCTACTTGACGTTGGCACTTGGCAGAGTCTAGTACCTTGTTGCCCAAGTTGCCACGTTCATTTTAAATTTAGGCCTTCCCAACAAATGAAAATTTCAATTCCAGGAACATACTTGGCTCCTGAAAAAACTAGGAACTGTATTTTCTTTTTGTTACACGTTCTTGTCAAAGTTCTCATATGATAGAAGAGAATCTTCATGCTCGGTGATGATTAACAGCATGACAGAGATCGAAGGTAAGATTAATCTAAGAATTGGGTAAGAAGTAGAAAAGTTGTGTACGACGATGTATCTGTAATTTTTTCCTCCACCGTGAATCGCAATATGTTGACTAGTGAGGATAAACTACTAGCGCGTACAGTGTACGCAGGCATACCCTCCCTTGCCCAACATCGCGCGCATTTATACCCATACGTGGAGATATTTTTTCTCTTTTGGGAGCTATGATCAGAATCATTTCTGGAAATTCATGCCTATACGTGGCATTAAAGTATTAGTTGACGATTCGGGCCCAAAAAATTTTGGTTTACGAGTCGAAATTTGTAGGTCGGCAATTAGAATTAGGTTCAAAAGCAAAGACGAATTACAACGATTTTGCTGGGTTTAAAATGTGGAAATATTGGAGACTGAAACCTTATTTTCAACGGAATTAGCAAGCGTAATAATATAATGGTGGAATAATTGGGAATGATAAGATGTGGATTGTAGAACTAAACTATCATCTTAACCATGTCCTTATAGAATACAATTGATTGTCCGAAGACTAAGATAATTTATCATATTACAAGCAGCACACACCATCCGATGGTGTCATCAGTTCTGTCTCTGCGAGCTGAGAAAGGGCAGTGTACCTCAGCAAGGCCTACCTAATTACTTCAACATCTTTGTGTACAGTAAAAGTCTCTTGCATTGGTTCAGCTTCCAACTTTCCACCATCATTGCAGACAACTAATAAGAAACTATTCTCCCTCCCCCCAACCCTCTTTCATTATTATGTCCCGTGCATCCTTATTAAGTTTCACTGTTCTGAAAGGGGAAAAAAAAATCATCCCTGAAATCTCTATTAGCATCCTATTTTCCCTTGAGATTCTGTTGACACGACCAATAATCTATTGAGAATATCCTCTCCTCTGGTCCATAATCTTCTGCAAATGGTGTTGTGATTCCCTCAAAGCTACATTCTTTTACTCTTTTCTTTGAAACACCTGCTCCATTCTCTGGTTTCCTTTGTGAGAGCAATCATGGCTGTTTCCTTTCCCATCCCATCGACCTGATATCATTAATCATGATCCTTCATACCTTCGTATCTTCATAAAGGACACCGCTCTTCTTCCTTTATCGTGTTTCTAATATCCTCTACTAATAACTAGTCGATGCTCTTATGGGTTTTTGCTGATAGTTGAACCACTTAATTTATTATTAGCCTCTTATGTTGTCTTCATGTGCGTGATTTAGTGGTTTTCTATATTTATGGCATGTGGTTATTTCGTTTCCCTTTATACTCAATTGGTTCGGTTGCCCACTGTCATAATTTCCCAGTAAGCCTTCTTCTGCTGTGCTAGTTCTATCCTCATACTGGTCCTGCATCTTCTGTAAGGTCGTTTTCAATCTTTAACTTACAGAACTACCATCTCGAATTGCAGAATTCGATGGCAAATGATCTGCCTTTGTGTCAGATTTAGCTGATTTGGGCTGTTCTGTTCATCTCAAACGTACCATCAATCTATCTTCCTTCAATTCTTGTTGGTCTTTCTGAATACAAAAGTATTCAGTATTTCAATCTTCGCAATGCCTCCTACATATTTCCCTCTTCGGTGGGAGAGCACCGGTGACCAATGGTGGTATGCTTCGCCGATCGACTGGGCTGCTGCTAATGGACACTATGACTTAGTTCGCGAGCTGCTTCGTATTGATAGCAACCACCTTTTCAAGCTGACCTCCCTCCGCCGTATTCGGCGCCTGGAAACGGTGTGGGATGACGAAGAACAGTTCAATGATGTTGCCAAGTTCCGCTCTCAGGTGGCCCAGAAGCTGCTTCAGGAGTGTGAATCCAAGAAAAGCAAGAACTCTCTCATTCGTGCAGGCTATGGTGGATGGCTGATGTACACTGCTGCCTCCGCCGGAGACTTGGGTTTTGTTCAAGAGCTTCTCGAGAGGAACCCACTTCTGGTTTTTGGGGAAGGAGAGTATGGGATCACTGATATCCTATATGCTGCAGCGAGGAGCAAGAACTGTGATGTTTTCAGGCTGCTCTTTGATTTTGCGGTTTCGCCCAGGTTTCTCACTGGAAAAGATGGTGTTTGGGTGGAGCATATTGGGGACATTCCTTCTGTTTATAGGTTGGAGATGACCAATCGGGCTGTTCATGCAGCCGCAAGAGGAGGTAATGTCAAGATTCTGGCGGAGCTTCTTGCCAATTGTTCTGATGTTTTGGCCTATAGAGACGCTCAGGGCTCTACTATCTTGCATGCAGCTGCAGGTAGAGGACAGGTTGAGGTAAGGCTCTAGCTTCTGTCCCTTTCTTTCCTTCGCTTCATTTCTCATTGACAGTTTCCAAGATACTGATAGAATGTGGCGAGTCTATAAGGAAGCTGGTATTTGTTCAAGTGAAAAATTGATTCTTCTTAAGGATGTTGGATTTTGGGGTTTAACTGTTGCATTAACATTACAAGCAAAGATTAGGTAATGTGACGGAGTATGCCCTTAAAGATTATCTAATGAAAAGAATAATTTGCATGAGTATACGAAATTGAGAAAGAACTTGGACTCTTTGCAAAGGTTTATGAAGATGATGCCTTCTTTCTCATGAGATATATTAGGCTGATGATTTGAGATTATAAGAATAACTGAATTTGTTGGGGTTCATGCAGGTGATCAAATACTTAACATTAACATTTGACATTATCAACTCCACAGACCATCAGGGCAACACAGCTCTGCATGTGGCTGCTTATAGAGGTCAATTAGCTGCAGTTGAAGCTCTAATCTCTGCATATCCCACCTTGATTTCTCAGACGAACAACGTAGGAGAAACCTTTCTCCACAAGGCTGTGTCTGGTTTCCAGACTCCGGCGTTCCGGAGATTGGACCGACAGGTAGCACTTCTGAAGCAGTTACTTAGTGGGAAGAATTTCCACACACAGGAAATCATCAATGTGAAGAACAATGACGGAAGAACAGCTCTTCATATGGCTATCATAGGAAACATCCACACCGATCTTGTTCAACTCTTGATGACAGCTCCTTCAATCAACTTGAATGCCTGTGACGTGGATGGCATGACCCCACTAGATTATCTCAGGCAACGCCCCAATTCAGCATCGTCTGATATACTCATCAGAAAGCTGATCTCGGCTGGGGGAATGTTTGGTTGCAGAGATCATGATTCAAGAAAAGCCATAGCTTCCCACTTGAAGCAGCAAGGTGGAAGCAGTCCTGGGACGTCCTTTAGAATCTCAGACACGGAGATATTTCTGTGCACGGGTATTGAGAATACTGTTTCACATGCCTTTGCTGATCAGGGAAATTCAGGAATGAGTCCATCTTTATCAGAACACAATCCATATAATTCCAACGCCGAGAACCACTGTAGTTCAGCCACCAGCAAGAGGCCTAGTTCTGTCACGGCAGCAAGACTGAAAAGAGTACTTCATTGGCCTCGCGGGAAGGAGAAGAAAGTTGAGAGATTCAATGGAGAAACTCCAACCCCTCTCAGGGAGAGATTTTCTAGGCCATCCTCGCTTCCAAACAACAAAAGAACACTGTCTGTGAGGAGTCAGCAGTCAAGTCCAAATGCAAAGAAGAAGTTTGCTTCAGGGTTAGTGCATGGAGTGATGCAGTCTGTGCCACAAGTGAAGGTTTCAGGCAGGTCTCGCTCCAGTTCATTCTCAAAATCATCAATCTCGTCGCCCAGATCATGGGACAAGCAAAAGGGTGTCTATATTGAGAATGACATAGCAGGACCATCCTGCTCGAATCAAACACCTGAAGAAGATGAATCGCCACGCATGGTGAAGCGTGCCTCTGTGAGTCAGAGGTTGAGAGGGCATTACTTCTGTTTTGGTGCAGCAGGACTTAGTGTGAAAAACCCAGGAAGTAGCAGCAAGCAGCAGGAGAGCCAGGACTTCAAGAATTATGTTATTTCGGTGGCATAATAGGTTGAGAAATGAGATTATAGCTAATTCCTGACAAGTGTGAGAGAGGGCACAAGGGATAAAAGCTGCTTGTTTAATGTATAATTCTATGTTGAAATAAAGAGCAGCTGGTTCCTTAGATGTAATGTAAGTCTTTTTATAGATTATACTTCGTTGGTGTATGACTAGGTCATGTACGAGACTTCGCTTGTTAATGATAAGTATGTTGTGTTAAATTATGCTCCGCATCATATATTCATATTGCCATGGTTCCTGCACTCGTAATACGCTTTTGGCATCCACAACTGCATTATTGAATAGATGGAACTTAATATATATATATATATATATATTTCCCTCTCTGTTATTTGTAGGAAAATAATTTTTAGTTCAAAATATAAAACACCTTGTAATATTTAAATTATTTTATTAATTTTATCCTTTTCTCAATTAATATGAAGGTATTTAATATAGCTGTATTATTATTAAAAGTTAACAATAAAAAATATGCATCTCATTTTTTAAATATCAAGAAAAAATTAACTTCTTTTAATTGCATAAAATACTTAAGAGTATCCTTTATTTATGTGTATATGTATAATATATATATATATATACACATATATATATCTAAAAGGAAGCAGCTATCTAGTTAAATGCACTTGTGCAACAGCTCCGATGGTGTTTCATAATGCTAAGCATGCCACGAGCAGGCAGTTTCGACTCCCAAAAGGGCTTCCCAAAAATTCACTTCTGCTAAAAGCAACTCTGATTTAAGTTTAGCAAACTAGCCTTTTAGCGGTACAGTTACAGACGATTTTGCAAAGGGAGAGGGGAAGGTAGTTAACTTAACAGTTTAAGCAAAAGTGAGTTTCCTGAAAGTACTTTGGGCAGCAAAATTCAGTAGCTAAACATGTACTAAGCAAAAGACTCCATCTTTGTTAAGGATATATTTAAAGAAGTCCTTGTTTATCTCCTAATCGATTCTTTAAATAAGATATTAAATCTTACCCTGCAGGATTGGAACCATGAGAAGCCAGCAATTATGTTGATTGGCTTGCCCACCAAGTTAGTCATTATAATTTAGTTAGGGTCTTATCTCCTTTTGACCTAACTTAAGTTTTACCCCTTTTTTTTTACAGTTCTTTTCATGGCCTTGTTATTCCCAACAAAAATGCACGGAGAGGGAGAGGGAGAGAGAGAGATGCTTATTTGATTTCACACAAGGCCACCTTAAAGCAAATATTAGCAGGTTTTAGATGCAGTTACAATTGTATGTCATGCTTTATATAAATTGAAAAATTAACTATTTATATCTTATAAACAAGTTAATAAATTTTATATATAACACACATCCATATATATATATATATATATAATTATCAATTAAATATGCTAGTCATTTAATATTTAAATTATTAATGAATTATTAACTTAAAAAACACTTTAAAATTTAGAGAAAATTTGATTTAGAATTTTGGAAAAAATTAATTTAATAAAATTTTTATGTTCTTTATTAAATATTTTATGAAAAATATTTGTGCGTAAAAATATTTATAAAACATAATTCAATTATATAAATTTTTAGTTATGAAAATCATGCAATTAATTTTTAAGTTATATAATCTTTCGATAAAAATATAAAAGTTATCAATTTCATTTTTTTTGAAAAAATTAAGAATTTTAACATTTGAGGAATAACATATTTAATCAGTCAAACTACACATGTTTGATTAAAACAAAATAAATTACAGAGACTTAAATCAAAATTGAAAAAAACTATAGGATATATGTATTAACTTTTTTTCACAAGTATTGGGATTCACATATTATAACAGTACCTAGCGTAATTAGGTTAAAAAAAAAATATTCACATAAACTTTTACTCTAGACTATGTTAATAGACAAACAAAAAAATTTTTAACTAATAATACACATCAGCTTTCATCTCTCTTCGCATGTTTCACTTGATAGAGAAAATTTATCTAACTTGGAACTGTGATCTCTCAAGCAATGTTTTTATATATATAACTCCAAGACTAGCTACCATATGTGATAAAAGAAATGTAGTTTTAGTTATAGCTTAAAGAAGCATTTTACCTTGGCCAAAAAGAAGAAGCATTTTACTAAAAATAAAATAAAATAAAGAAGCAAATATAGGCCATATAAGGAAACGGCAAAAGCACACAACATGCCTGCTGTAAAGAGAGTTGACAGAAGCCTTGAAAAGCCCAGTGGGCCAACCCGGAACAGTAGCATCAAAGTCCATTTCACTTTCCCCCCGCCCACACTTTCAGGCTTCGGCTCAACATATCCTAAAATATAAACAGAGCTCAAATTGAATATTAATCTCTCCTGTGCTAAATGTAGGAGTTAATCAGAGTTTTTCAGTCATAAATAGAAAAATTCAATCTCTTTTGTCTTCACGTTAATTATATTTTTACAAACTACCTTGTAGTTACATTCTTATAAATGTATTAACTATATCCAAATTTATAAGACATTTACGCAGGAGATTCGAATTTTAAAATATAAAACATTTTAATAAAAATTTTATAAAAATAATATTAAAAATATTTTTTAATATTATTATTTTTATTAAATGAAGGGTACCTTTAAAAATTTATTCTTTTAGTTTGAAAAAAAAGAACTATAAAATATATTTAATAAACTTTACATAATTTTGTTTAAAAATATCGTATAAATTGGGATAAAGTATAAGTTATGTTAGTGACACTGTAGTATACGTGATTAAAGGGTGAATGTTTTAGAAAAATCGGAATATTTTTTAAAAATAACTAATTTAACGGATTTTCTTAATCTTTACGAATTAGTTAACTAGCTCGAGCACTTGGATTTGGAGCGGATGGAATATGTAAAATCAAGCGACAGGCACTGCACAGAGAATGAAAAACCCCATCCGATACGTGGCCTAATGGGGGTGGGGTTAGTTACTAACGGTATTCACATATTGCAGTACATTGTGGTTAGATCAGTGGTGGGACGATTAATCACAACATCAAAGTTTGCTGCATTTAATTAATCACAAGACGTTCATGATTTTCCTGCGCGTGATGTCATGCCCCAGAAAAACACGCTTTAATTTGTTATTTTATAGTAAATGGGAAATTAGGGAAATCCACGTTATAAAATCGTAGGTGTTAACATCATGAGGATGGAGGCATTTAGAAACATCATTGTCACTGGAGTGTCAAGTTTAATTAATTAGCGCTAGAGTTGAAATTATTGCACATAATTTCTTGGTACCCACCTACTAATTGCTTACTCAAGCAAGAATGAAGCTTCAGCCTTCACGTCCCTGGCTTTCTCTTTGAATTAAACTGATTACCCAAATATGCTCAACCAATCCGCTCGTGGTTTGGGTCATAATTGGACACTCGTATTTCGCTCAGCCCTAAGATTTCAACTCCATTATAACCCATCGACACTTATCCAAAGTCAAAACAATATTATATATATATATATATATATATATATATTTTTAAATATTTTTAACTGAATCTCACCCTCAATAAAGTAATTACTTACTTTCTAACTAACTCTGTCTTTTTATATTTATTTCTATTAAACATCCTACAATAAATATAAAGTTATTATTAATAGGGTACTTTTAAAAAAAATAATGATTACACCTCAAAAGATTAAAAATGTCTTACATGTTTTAACATCCAACTCCTCAAAAAAATGCCTTATATTTTTTAATAGAGAGTGTGTGTATATATATATATATATTTCTTTTCATATCAAATTATACAATATTTTTAAAATAGATTCAACATCCTAAAATATAAGACATTTTAAAAAGATTAAAATTTTATTAAATAGGCTTATTTTAATATTATTATTTCTCTCTCTATACAATTAATTTCTATCCATTTTTAAATATATTAAATGATGAATATTTTTAAAAATTTATATTTTTATTTTAAAAAGATAAGGTTGTTAAGGATATTTAATGAGGTTTATTGGTATATGATATTTTATTTAAAAATATTTTATAATTTAAAACGAAAAGAGTGGAATATACATATACTCCATCTAGTCCCATTTATAGAAAGAAAATAGTTTTTTTCATCTCATTTATCACAAATTTTTCTTTCATCTTTCATTAAATATTAGAAAAAAAATATATTGATAAAATACGTTTATTTAATAAGAGAAAATTAATACTTTATTTAATTTTTATATAAAGTTAATAATATTAAGTTTTTTTGGTATTAGTAAATATATTAGAAATAATTTATAAAAAATGTTCTAATAAAAATATGCATGCGCATTATATGAGTGTGGAGTACTTTATCTAAACTATGGTATGTTTTTTATGTAGTTCTAGTTTCATTTAATTTTGTTTGAGAAATAATTAACATGCACTCTTCCGTTTTAAAAAAATGTGAGATCTGTTGAACTAATAATTTACATTGATTAAAAACTCAATTAAATTAATAATTTGTTAAAAAAGTTTTTCGTTTTTCTTAACACACTTCTCCTTTTAATCATTTATTCTCTCCGTTTTAAAATATAAGTTTTTGGGATAATAACATGTTTGCTTGTTTAGGTTTACCTAAATTATCATTTTGATTCCTGAATTTTAATCTTGAATTAAAGCACGTTTTTTTCTTTTTAACTACTTGTAAAAAACATTTAATATTTTAATTTTTTCAGTACAATATTTTTTTTAATATTTAAAAATGGTGCAATGTTATATTTGTTATTAATAAATGTTAGTTGACCCAAAAAATTATATATCATGAACTTAAGAATTAACAAAAAATTACTGAAAAAAATGTAAAAGAGGAGCCCATATATGACATATCACGCAAAAAGAAATAGATGACGCGATCGAAGGATTTCTCCATAATTTACACGGTGACATATGTGCGGGGCTCACATCTGCCTCTTTTCTAGGTAATATTCAAGTGAAGTTGAAATATTTTGAATCCCGTTTCTTTCATTTTCAAAACTGGAGACTGTTCATGTGCACTTTAACTATTCAGGCAGTTCTACTTAGAATACGCGTCTGACACATTTACAGGGACGTGAAGGGGAGCTTTGATGACACGGGATGACATAACAATTAAGCATCTGAGCTAATTGTCATTAAAATTAGAGACAATTATATTAAAGATTCACATAAAAAAATAATTATTATAAAATTTATTAATAATTAAATTAAAATGTATTAACAACACAATTAATTATTAATACAGTTTAGTTT